GGGCTGATCCAGGTTTCCTGTGCCAGGATCATGGGATGGGGTGATCCAGAGGTGATCCAGGTTCCAGGTTCCTGGGATGAAGTGATCCAGGGGTGATCCAAGTTCCCTGTTCCAAGTTCCTGGGATGGGCTGATCCAGGTTCCCTGTGCCAGGATCCTGGGATGGGCTGATCCAGGGCTGATCCAAGGGTGTTGGAATGAGATGACCTCTAAGGTCCCTTCCATCCCAAACCATTCTGGAATTCTATGAAATCGAAAACTCTTAAAGGAAGCCACGAGCGTTCCCTTTTCCCGCTGATCCCTCTGGGATGTTTGTCCCCACGGGATGGGCTTGGTTTTCCCGGGAGCTGGTGGGACTCACATCCTGCTCCGTGCTGCCCCAGGGAGAGAGGAGGGATTTCTCTCCCTCTGGGAAAGGTGTCCCCTCCTGCCTGGGCAGGGGATTGTCCCGACGTGGCCTCTCTGTCCCGCAGGGATTTGAAGCGGGATGTGTCCAAGAAGCTGGAGAAGCTGGAGAAGAGGACCCAGAGAGCCATCGCGGAGCTGATCCGTGCGTGCCATTCCCCAGGGATCCCCTCATTCCTGCTGGGACCTCTGGGCCAGGGAGGGATGGGGGGAGCTTCACCCCTTCCCAGAAGGGTCTGGGAAGCTTCCCAAAGCTCCAGGGGCAATTGGATGTGCCCAGGGAAGGGTTTGTGGCTCGGGGGTGGCAGGGCAGCCCCTCCCCGGGGTCACTTCCCATTCCAGGGAGTGCATCCCGATCCCTGGCTGTCTGTCCCTGCAGGAGAGAGGCTGAAGGGGCAGGAGGAGGAGTTGGCATCTGCCGTGGGATCAGCGAAGCAGGAGGGAAGCGACTCCGACTGAGGGATCCGTCGGCGTCCCGGATCCAGCTCCCACCCCCGGGACACACTCGGCCCTTTCCCAGGAATTCCCAAATCCTGCCGTGCCTGGAGGGGAGGGGCAGATCCCAGGAGCCCGGCTGGCCGCTGAGGGACATTCCTGGCAAACTTCCCGGGATCACAGGACACGCCCACCTGGGCTTGAACCCACCTGCCGGGACTCGGAGCAGGGAAAAGTGGGAAGAATTCCAGTCAAGGTCAATCCAGACTCGCTCTCCTCCTGCTGGGAAAGGAAGGAGATGCCCACGTGGCCCTTGGAGAGGCAGGACCTTTTCCCAAGGGATTGGGGTTCCTGTTCCTGTGCAGACACCACGAGGTCTCCCTGCAGAGCTGGGAACATCCCTGGGCTCACCCAGAATTCCCGTGGGAAGGGGCTGTCGGTTCAGGACCCGTTGGCTGCTCTGCATCCAGCTGAGTTTAGCGTGGGATTTGCCTTGCTTCCCAAAATTTCCCAACCCTCCGGAGTGTTCCACTCCTCCTCGGAGTGTTTTTTAGTGGATGAAGTTTGTTGTTAGTGGATCTTTTCCTAATAAAAAATTCCGTGCTGGAAGAAGTTGTCGCTTCTGGAAGAAGAGGCGCCTCATCCCTCTCCTGTCCATGGAGACCTCAGGCCTTGTCCCCTCCCTTTCCTGGGAAAAAGAGCAGTGGGATTCAGTTCATGGAAGTTTGAGGTGGCTGCAGCAGGTCAGGGATGAGATGATCCAGGGGTGATCCAGGTTTCCCGTGCCAGGTTCCTGGGATGGGCTGATCCTTCAGACTGACACAGAGTAGGTTTAAATGGGATATTGGGAAGGAATTCTTGGCTGGGAGGGTGGGGAGGGCCTGGAATGGGTTTCCCAGAGAAGCTGTGGCTGCCCCTGGATCCCTGGAAGTGTCCAAGGCCAGGTTGGAGCAACCTGGGATAGTGGAAGGTGTCCCTGCCCATGGCAGGGGGTGACACTGGGTGGGCTTTGAGGTCCTTTCCAGCCTAAAGCATTCTGGGATTCTCTAATTCCATGAACTTGGTCCCTCCTGGAGCCGTGGCCTCATCCCTGGAATGCCCTGTAGGTGTCAGCAGAACTCCATGCACAGAGTCGGGCCGTGTCCAGCTCTTCCCAAAGGCTGGGCTTTGGAAAGCCAGGCTTTTCATCCATCCATCCATCCTTCCATCCATCCATCCCTCTGCCCTTCCCTCCCTGTCTGACCCACAAGAGTTTTCCCTTGTTGACTTTAAAGGGAAAAAACTCCCTTTAAACTGGATTCAGGCCCAGCTTTTCCCAGTCCTTGGAAGGATAATTGTCCCTCTTTCAGCTCTCCCTGGAAATGTTTGGGAATGAAAAATCAAAGTATTTTCTTTTAGGGCAAAGTGAAATGAAACGTCCTGACTTTGCCCTTTCCCACTTGATTCCAGGTTTTATTCCAGACTCAAGTTAATCCGGGATCAGCCCCAGGCCCCTGGACTGATGCTGATGTGGGACTGGGGTCCTGGCGTGGGAATGGGATCCTGTAGTGGGATAGGGATCCCAGGATGGGAGTGGGATCATGTCATGGGATGGGAGTCCCAGTGTGGGACAGGGATCCTAGAATGGGACAGATCCCAGACTGGGACATTGATCCCAGTGGGACAGGGATTCCAGAGTGGGACATTGATCCCAGTGGGACAGGGATTCCAGAGTGGGACAGGGATCCCAGAGTGGGACAGGGATCCCAGAGTGGGACAGGGATTCCAGTGGGACAGGGATTCCAGACTGGGACAGGGATTCCAGTGGGACAGGGATTCCAGAGTGGGACAGGGATCCCAGAGTGGGACAGGGATCCTGGCATGGGAGTGGGATCCTGGTGTGGGACAGGGGTCCTGGCGTGGGATGAAGATCCCAGCACGGGATAGGTATCCTGGAATAGGATTGGGGTGTCAGCATGAGACAGGGATCCTGGAATGGGATTGAAGTGCCAGCATGGGACAGGGATCCTGGAATGGGACAATGATCCCAGTATAGGACTGGAGTCCTGGCATAGGACAGGGATCCTGGCATGGGAAGGGGGTCCCTGCATGGGAATGGGGTCCCAGTGTGGGACTGGGATCCTGATGTGGGACTGGGATCCTGGAATGGGACAAGGGCAGTGATCCCGGTGTGGGACAGGGATCCTGGTGTGGGACTGGGATCCTGGTATGGGACTGGGATCCTGGTATGGGACTGGGATCCTGGT